ACGTACAAGGGGACACAGGTGGAAACTGAGTGCCCAAATGAGCCACAGAGATATTAGAAAGAACTTTTTTAGTGTCAGAGTGGTGGACAAATGGAATGCATTAGGAAGAGATGTGGTGGAGGCTGACTCCATACACAGTTTCAAGTGTAGATATGATAGAGCCCGATAGGCTCAGGAATCTGTACACCTGTTGATTGACGGTTGAGAGGCGGGACCAAAGAGCCAGAGCTCAACCCCCGCAAACACAACTAGGTGAGTACAACTAGGTGAGTACACACACACACACACACACACACACACACACACACACACACACACACACACACACACACACACACACACACACACACACACACACACACACACACACACACACACACACACACACATCCCTTGAATGCAGGCCACAACAGCTGACTGTCAGGTATTTATTTATTGCTAGGTGAACAGAGGCAGCAAATGAAAGAAACAACTGTATTCTGTATCGCCCGGGAATTGAACTCTGATCTATAGACAGAAAATCCTGAATATCTGTCTGGTCATACTGACTCTCGACCAGATTTTTCTATCATATCTACTTCACATTTCCTCTCTAATAATACACACACACACACACACACACACACACACACACACACACACACACACACACACACACACACACACACACACACACACAGTTAGTAGATAGCAACAGTTGATTGACAGTTGAGAGGCGGGCCGAAAGAGCAAAGCTCAACCCCCGCAAGCACAACTAGGTGATTCTAACTAGGTGAACTCACACACATGCCCAGAAAGCAGCTCCGTAGCAGCTGTCTAATTCCCTGGTACCTATTTACTGCTAGGTAACAGAGGCATCAGAGATGAAAGAAACTTTGCCCATCTGTTTCTGCCTGGTCCGGGAATCGAACCCGGGCCACAGAATTACGAGTCCTGCGCGCTGTCCGCTCAGCTACCACACCCCCTTTTGAGATTGAGTGTGTGTGTGTGTGTGTGTGTGTGTGTGTGTGTGTGTGTGTGTGTGTGTGTGTGTGTGTGTGTGTGTGTGTGTGTGTGTGTGTGTGCTCGCGCGATCGCACTCTGCTGCCGAGGCGTTTCTTGGTGTCTGTCTGTCTGTCTGTCTGTCTGCCTGTCTGTCTGTCTGTCTGTCTGTCTGTCTGTCTGTCTGTCTGTCTGTCTGTCTGTCTGTCTGTCTGTCTGTCTGTCTGTCTGTCCGAGCAGGCTCAACAGGTCATAGGACAGCTAGCATTTCCTAAGGGCTTCCCTGCCCTCACATTATATCAAAATCTTTAAGACATTCGATTGATTTCTTTCGCAGTTTGCATCATGCGTAAGAAAAGCCATTTTCACGAGTCATGAGCTACCACATTTTTCTCCCTGACAAAAGCAGAGTTTCACTTCCACAACGTATTTTCCCCTGAAGGTTTCCTCCCCGCCAGGCTGGGCCGTGGCGGGGGAGCTCACGTGTGGCGGGGGAGAAAAAAAGTGCTGGTGGCAGGGAAGGGAAACTGGAAAAAAATCCGTGATCGTTTTTTTTCTTTCTCTCGCTGTAATTCTTTCTTGGTCTGTTTTGTTTTGTTTTCCAGGTCAAGATTTTGAGGGAATGTGAAGGGGGGGGGGGGGGGGGGGGGGTGGTGGGGGGGGGAGGGATGAGTGGGGATTTCTCTCCCTCTCTCTCTCTCTCTCTCTCTCTCTCTCTCTCTCTCTCTCTCTCTCTCTCTCTCTCTCTCTCTCTCTCTCTCTCTCTCTCTCTCTCTCTCTCTCTCCCCCTCTCTCACTTTCTCTCCCGTGGCGCTAAACACGCTGCAGTAACGTTGGATAACAGATAAATGAACAAACGCTATCGACGTGGATTCATTGTAGATAACAACCCATTAGGTAAGTTGGAGAACCCTCCACGAACACCCTAACCCACATTCCCCACCACACAAGTGTTGGTTGTCGCAACTGGAGCGACTCCTACTTTAAGGCAGGCATGGGGGGGGGGGGCGTCAACCACACCCCACCCACCTCACCACACTCCTCTTACAATCACGTTTTTCATATATAAAGATGGGGATTGGTGATTGGATTAACGAACATTTGGTCTTTGTTTATGAGGACGCATCGTGCGGAGGGGGGGGGGGGGGTCGCCGCTTTAACGAGCCTGGCTTAAGGACAGGTTGCATGATGAGGACGGGCTGTATGTCCACTGACTGAGGGGGTGTCACCGGCAAATGGTATTCGAAGCCTTCCTAAAGAAATTCAACATTATATAATTTTTAAAATGATTCCTTGACAAGTTTTCATTATGTTACTTCATGGAATAGCGTCACAATTTCACAAAGAAACGGAAATATATTGACCTATTTATGTATACAAGAGTTGTTACATTCTTGTACAGCCACGTACAGGGGAGCCGGTCGGCTGAGCTGATAGCATACTGGACTTATGATCCTGTGGTCCCGGGTTCGATCCCGGGCGCCGGCGAGAAACAATGGGCAGAGTTTCTTTCACCCTATGCTCCTGTTACCTAGCAGTAAATTAGGTACCTGGGTGTTAGTCAGCTGTCAAGGGCTGCTACCTGGGGGTGGAGGCCTGGTCGAGGACCGGGCCGCGGGGACACTAAAAGCCCCGAAATCATCTCAAGATAACCTCAAGATCATCTCAAGATAACCACTAGCACGCGTCGCGTTGCGAGCAGGTCCTTAATCCTAATATTTCCCGCAATACGACCCGCCAAATTATTTAACAACCTATTCTTGTTTATGTCGATGTTGTTCTCTAGTAACTCCCTGATGAGACACTTTAACCCCCCTTGTCTCGTGACCTTCACCCCCTCCCCCCCCTCGTAAGCCGTTCATTGGCTATTAATCAACGACTTTTGATTGACGATGGAAAATCATTTATAAACTTGGTCTCTACTTTCATTCCAATCCCAATAATGTCTTTACACTTTTGTCAGAATTACTGGAATCTTTTTTTTAAAGATGCTGTGATATACCGACGTTTTAAACCTCCTTGATTTTCCACGCCTATAATGTTCCGGTAATGAATGGAATGGCGAAAAATTGTGAAGATCCGCAATGTTTTTGGTCATAAATATGCGGCTCGCCATCACTGGTCCCAGGGTATAAACGCCCCAACAAACGGCCCATAAATTTCTAATGGAGTCATCAGGAGGCAGAACTGATTTAGTGTCACTGCTTACTTTTATTGGTGTAAGTTCTTGGGTTTTGTCTCGTGTATTGGGCTCAATAATTCGTTCTCACTTTAGCTATAATTCCAGCCCGATATCAAGCGAATGACCGTCATGAGGTTATCTTGAGTTATCTCTATAATCTCTATCTCTATAATCCGTTTAATTAACAGCGTGTGTCAAACGCTGACTATTAAAATCTACTCAGTATTTACTATTTATTCGAACACTTGACCACGAGCTGGTCAAGTGTTCGAAACTAGGACTCGAACACTAAATCCACGTTCGAAACTAGGACTCAAAACGTTCATTGTTCTCTCTCACGGTAAATCCTCAAGATCAGGTGTGCCTTTATTGACGATAATCTTCTAAAAATTTCTCTCGCTTGCCCATTGAAAACAAAATCCTTTTAAAGCTTTCATAATGAAATAAGTTCAGATAACAATTAACTCTTTTAATTATTTTTGGGGACATAAGACAGCTTAAGGAATTGCAACTTATTAATGAATGAAAATGAAAAAAAATGGAACAATAATAAAGGATTTTTTAAGGGAAAAGGAGATGTGTTTTTGTTGATTGATATGTATTGATTGATCAAATATTAACAAAAGTGTATGAGTGAGAGATTGTAAGGCCCCCACACTGCCTCCTGGGGGGCCCCACACGGCCTCCTTGGCCCACACTGCCTCCTAGGGGCCCACACTGCCTCCTGGGAGCCCCACACTGCCTCCTGGGAGCCCCACACTGCCTCCTGGGCCCACACTGCCTCCTGGGCCCACACTGCCTCCTTGGCCCACACTGCCTCCTAGGGGCCCCACACGGCCTCCTTGGCCCACACTGCCTCCTGGGGGCCCCATACGGCCTCCTTGGCCCACACTGCCTCCTAGGGGCCCACACTGCCTCCTGGGAGCCCCACACTGCCTCCTGGGAGCCCCACACTGCCTCCTGGGCCCACACTGCCTCCTAGGGGCCCACACTGCCTCCTGGGAGCCCCACACTGCCTCCTGGGAGCCCCACACTGCCTCCTGGGGGGCCCCACACTGCCTCCTGGGCCCACACTGCCTCCTGGGGACCACACACTTCCTCCTGGGCCCACACTGCCTCCTGGGGGCCCACTCTTCCTTCTGGGGACCCCACACTGCCTCCTGGGCCCACACTGCCTCCTAGGGGCCCACACTGCCTCCTGGGAGCCCCACACTGCCTTCTGGGAGCCCCACACTGCCTCCTGGGGGCCCCACACTGCCTCCTGGGCCCACACTGCCTCCTGGGGACCACACACTTCCTCCTGGGCCCACACTGCCTCCTGGGGGCCCACTCTTCCTTCTGGGGACCCCACACGGCCTCCTGGGCCCACACTGCCTCCTGGGGGCCCACTCTTCCTCCTGGGGCCCCACACTACCTCCTGAGGGCCCCACACTGCCTTCTTCAGGCCCACACTGCCTCCTGGGGGCCTACACTGCCTTCTGGAGGCCCACACTGCCTCCTGGGCCCACACAGCCTCTTGGGGGCCCACACTGCCTCTTGGGGGCCCACACTGCCTCCTGGGGGCCCGGACTGCCTTCTAGGGGCCCCACACTGCCTCCTGGGGCCCCACACTGCCTTCTTCAGGCCCACACTGCCTCCTGGGGGCCCACACTGCCTCCTGGGGGCCTACACTGCCTCTTGGGGGCCCACACTGCCTCCTGGGGGCCCACACTGCCTCTTGGGGGCCCACACTGCCTCTTGGGGGCCCGGACTGCCTTCTGGGGGCCCCACACTGCCTCTTGGGGCCGTACAATGAGTCGGACACATGACAGAACACCTCTTCCCTTCCCTGCTTCAGGTGGGGGCGCCAGCGACGAGAGTGACATCGAGAGCGAGCCCGGCATACCACTCAAGCGGAAGCAGCGACGGTCGAGGACGACCTTCACCGCCGAGCAGCTGGAGGTGCTGGAGCGCTCCTTCGAAAAGACTCAATACCCCGACGTCTACACCAGGGAGGAGCTGGCGCAGAAGTAAGTCTACCTGTCCCGGGGTGTCTTAGGGTGTACGTGGGGTGTCTTGGGGTGTACGTGGGTGTCTTGAGCTAGTAACTTGTCAGGTGAGACTGCATAAAGCTTGACTCTTGGTTTTAAGCTGTGAAGTACATGCCTTCCCCCTCCTGCCGCAGGGCCAAGCTGACGGAGGCGCGGGTGCAAGTGTGGTTTAGCAACCGCCGCGCGCGGCTGCGGAAGCATTTGAGCAGCCAGCAGTTAGCGGGGCTGTCTTCTGGCATGCCGCCCGCGGCGGCCATGCCCACGGCCGCAGCCGCATCCTCTTACATGAACCAGTACGCCCCTCCCGCAGGCGACCACTCCGCCGCGGCTGCCGCAGCCGTCGCCTACCACTGTAAGATTGGCACAACCGCCTTCGTTTTGAGGTTTTAATATCGAGCATAAAAAAACTTGAGATATGACATAAATCATGCTTTCCTAACTGCTCTTCTAGGCCTACTTAGGCCCCTTTGGGAGGGGGGAGGGGGTGGGGCAAGTAGGCCTCCCCTATTACCCCTAACTACCCCCCTCCCCCCTAAACCCCCCTAACCCCCTTACCTGCGGCATTAACCGGTTTCTCTCCCACAGCGTCCAGCGCCTGGCAGAGTTCTGGCGGGTACGACTACGCCAGCGCCACCGCGTTCGGTACAGACAACTCCCATGCCCTCATGTCGTCTCCCATGGCTGCCATGACGTACCCCGTCACCTCCATGCCCACTATGACGGCCTCCATGCCCACTATGACGGCCTCCACCTCCACTGCCTCCACTGACAGCGGGTGGAGTGGAGTCAAGACCATGGCGTCGCCACACATGGGCGGGTGGAACACTGGGTTCTCCACCCTGGGTGGAGAGCAGCTGGGTGGCCTACTGGGCGGCCAGGGGTACAATATGGGGCATGCCTTGCCCACACAGTGCCCCACTATGGGGGATAAGACCCATGCGCCGCCCACCGCCGCCCCAGCTTATCCCGCCTATTTCCCACAGTTTACTGACCCATCTAACCTCATGTGTGGGCGGGTTCACTAGTCCTCTCCCGCCCACGCCCACACCGTCACCCCACGCCCATACCGTCACCACACGCCCACGCCGTCACCCCACGCCCACACCGTCACCCACTGCCCCATGTGTCAGCTACTATCTATGGGTGACAAACTGCTACATCACCACCACCATCACCAGCATCACCACCACCACCACCAGCATCACCATCACCACAACCACCATCACCACCACCTCCACCACCTGCATCACCACCACCACCACCTCCACCACCTGCATCACCACCTCCACCACCTGCATCACCACCACCACCATCACAACCACCACCTCCTGCATCACCACCACCATCACCACCACCACCACCTACATCACCAGCACCACCTGCACCACCACCACTACCTGCACCACTACCATCACCACCACCACCACCTGCATCACCACCACCACCACCATCACCACCACCACCATCATCACCATCACCACCACCTGCACCATCAACACCATCACCACCACCCTCACCACCGCCACCACCACTACCACCACCACCATCACCACCACCTGCATCACCACCACCACCATCACCAACACCACCACCACCACCACCTGCATCATCACCATCACCACCACCACCTGCATCACCACCACCATCACCACCACCACCACCACCACCACCACCACCATCATCACCACCACCACCACCACCACCATCACCACCACCACCACCACCATCACCACCATCACCACCACCACCACCACCACCACCACCACCACCACCACCAGGTTCCTAGCAGATCCTCTTCCAGTTAACGGTGACCTAAAACGCTACTAGAGGCCGCCTAGTACATCAATACACTCCCTAGTACACTACCTAGGTAGTGCTCACCAAGCACAGCACCTAGCTAGTATTCACCTAGTAAGTGTTTTCCTAGTACAAGTGATTAGTCACCGGCCACATCATCTCTAGCACGTAATCTAACTAGTTTTCACCTAGCACGCCTAGTGGTAGTGTTAAGCTGTGTATAACTAGCTAGTATTCACGTAACTAGTGTTATACTTGCGTGGGTGGTCACCTTTCACACTGTTACCTAGTGTTCATTTAGTTTTCACCTAGCCAGTATTTATTTAGCTAATGTTCACCGATCTTTATCGTTACTGGTATGTAACTAATGCTCGTGTAGCTAGTGTTCACCTAGCTAGGGACACACAGGGACTAGTGATTACCTAGCAGACATGCAGTAGTATCCCTCTCTCACTGCCTGGAAGCTAAAAAGTTTGTGCTCTAAAAGAAACCCACACACACGCACACACAACTGTTGATTGACGGTTGAGAGGCGGGACCATAGAGCCAGAGCTCAACCCCCGCAAGCACAATTAGAGGAGTACACACACACACACACACACACACACAGGTATCTATTCCCTCCACTGATCGCGTTGCGTGCAGGCATCAGTTAATGATATTATCCAGAGGAAATATTAGGCTTCATTAGTCAACATCTGTTATTAGCCTTAACTGTCAAATGAGACTTAAAGATCATTCTGTTGGCAGCGTGGCGTACGTCACTTAAACCTTCCCAGGAACACATATTCATGTATTGTCAGTAGCTGTATTTTCAGGGCATTTATCTTCTTTTTTTGGGGTTTCTCTCTTCCCCCGCAAAAAAATTTATGTTGACGGAAATAGAAATTAGATTTTTTGGCTGAAACACAATCGTATACGCCCGACGCATCTCTGAGTTCTTGTGATATTTGTGTAGAGTGAATAATGATGTGTTGATTGACAACACACATGCACACTGTCATGTTGTGTGTACGTGTGTGTGTGTGTTCTGGGTGGACTGTATTCATCACCCACCACTGTCATAACCATCATTGCCACTACCACAACCATAACACAAACACAACCACCGTGACTACCACCACAGTAGCATCATTGGCAGACACAACCATCATCACCGCATCTGTCACGCCCACCACCTACACACCTCCCACCACCACCACCCAAAACCCGCCACCTACACAACTACTACCACTACCACCCACAACCCACCACCACCCACAACCCACTACCTACACAACTACCACCACCATCACCACCCACAACCCACCACCTATACAACTCCCACCACCACCACTAGCCACCAGCCCCACCATCACCACTAGCCACCAGCCCCACCACCACCACTAGCCACCAGCCCCACCACCACCACTAGCCACCAACCCCACCACCACCACTAGCCACCAGCCCCACCACCAACATCACCACACAGTCGTAGAGCAATAATAGCTGACTAAAGCCGTCGAGCAAACCAGCGTATGATAACAAGACCATTAGCCTCCATGCCGTTTCCCTTAGGCAAGCCTACGCCAACCCCAGGCAGATCCACAGTCGGTCAGGGTCTTCAGGAAACCTACTGGCAGAGACGATCTTTTTCACTAAATGTTTTTGTTTATCATGCCACAAAAGGATTAATCATGAGATAGTCAAAAGCTTTTTCTTTATGGCTTTAGAGGATTTACAGCCTGGAATGTATGAAGGATGTATATGTCGCTAGTGCGTGACATTAGACTTATTTTTCCTCTCAAAGACTGCAGGAAAAGGACTTAAGCACCGGTGGAGATAGTGAACCCTGGCAGAATATTGATCATATACTGCCTCTACCATGACCAAGGCACTCTCAGTAAAGTGCACATCGGTGTAGTTTATCAGTTCACCGAACTGACATGACCAGTGCCAGCAAGTAGTGATTAATTTTTGCCGTTAGAAGAAATTACTGGTACACAGAAGAGAGAGGGGCTGAAGCTCACTAGAGTCCTTGTGGTGAGGCAGCCGTCAAAAAGCACCTTCAAGCAGTCGTCAGTAAAAGCGACAACACCTTCACGCAGTCGTCAGTAAAAGCGACAACACCTTCACGCAGTCGTCAGTAAAAGCGACAACACCTTCACGCAGTCGTCAGTAAAAGCGACAACACCTTCAAGCAGTCGTCAGTAAAAGCGACAACACCTTCACGCAGTCGTCAGTAAAAGCGACAACACCTTCAAGCAGTCGTCAGTAAAAGCGACAACACCTTCAAGCAGTCGTCAGTAAAAGCGACAACACCTTCAAGCAGTCGTCAGTAAAAGCGACAACACCTTCACGCAGTAGTCAGTAAAAGCGACAACACCTTCACGCAGTAGTCAGTAAAAGCGACAACACCTTGAAGCTGAACCAAGAGTTATTTAATGAACATATGATTTCCGTCTGCTGAATTTTAGGGCAAAGCACAAGCGGCATTAGTCACTCCCCAGGCCTGTACCATCCTTGTTGACAGGTGACCTGTCTCATATCTTGAGCCTTGTTGTCATATAGGAGACCTCAGTGCCCTTCTACCTCACCCTTTACCTTGTACATAATCCGCCATTAGGCTCGTGTATCTCCGTCGAATTTAAGAACTATCTGGAGAGCGAGAGGCTTGCCTGCCCCTACGAGTCTCCACCAACACATTTATGCTCCCAATTGTCGATGTTCTCAATGAAAGCATCTCTCCATCAACATCACCACCCCACCCCATCCACCTGCTGCTTTGTCTCATTGACAAAGTCTCCAATATTTAACAAGCTCGACTAGTTTTAAGAATACCAATTTTTGTACATAATATATATATATAAATATTCCATGATGTGTCCCTTGTAGTAGGAGATGAGAGATGGTTTCGATGATAATGAGGCTTCTCTCTCTCTCTCTCTCTACATCTAGAGAGCACACACCATACCTAGTGTCAACCTAGCTTCTTAGCTTTAAGTCCAAGCATCAGATAACTATTAGAATAAGCAAAAACAGTTATGCAAATATTGTTGTTTTTCTTTCACTTAGTTCGTTCCATCCTAAGTGTATTAATATAATTAGGAATCTGACACAATAAATCGAATTCAGTGAAACATATGTTTTACTTAACCTCTCTTGTCCCGTCCCAGAACTATCGCAATCAGAGTATTATTATTATTATTATTATTATATATATATATATATATATATATATATATATATATATATATATATATATATATATATATATATATATATATATATATATATATATATATATATATATATATATATGCTGAGCCACAGCAACCTTCCCCAGTGTCCTCCCCACCATTCCCCTCATCCTCCTAACCATTTTCCCCTGTTCCCCTTGTCCTTCCCACCATTACCCCCTCCCTTGTCTCCTCGTCTTCCCCAAAATTCCCCACTCCCTTGTCCGATGCCTTCCCAAATGATCGGATGTTCCCATCAGATGTTCTGAAAAATAAGATGAACAGTTAAAAAAAAGAAATGAAAAAGAATGAACAAATAAAAAATGAAACTTTGCTCATGAAATGAACGGTATGGTAAACAACACAGCTCAAATCCAAGGTAATGTCACACAAAATAATTAAATCAAAATGAAAATAAATCGAAATCAATGAAAATTTAATTTATCAATGCAATCAGAAACACTGAAATGTAATCGTAATAAATTTAGAATAGCATGTATTGCTCTTACGGATCTGGGTGTACTCATGTCGGAAGACCTTACCTTTAAAGAACACAATAAAGTAGCCGTCACAACTGCAAGAAAAATGACAGGTTGGATAACAAGAACTTTTCACCCTAGAGATGCTGTACCGATGATGATACTTTTCAAAACGCTTGTGCTCTCTAGAGTGGAGTACTGCTGCACAATGACAGCCCCTTTCAAAGCTGGAGAAATTGCTGACCTGGAGAGCGTGCAGAGATCCTTTACTGCTAGAATCCACTCAGTAAAACATCTAAATTACTGGGGCCGACTAAAGAGCCTAAATCTGTACTTCCTTGAGCACAGGCGGGAGAGATACATAATAATTTACACGTGGAAAATAATTGACGGGGCTGGTCCCAAACCTGCACACAGAAATAACATCACATGAAACCAGAAGGCATGGCAGGATGTGCAGAATACCCCCATTGAAAAGCAGAGGCGCAACAGGTACTCTGAGAGAGAACTCTATCAACATCAGAGGCCCGAGACTATTCAACACGCTTCCACTACACATAAGGGGCATAACTGGCCGACCCCTCACAGTGTTCAAGAGAGAACTGGATAAGCACCTCCAAAGGATACCTGATCAACCAGGCTGTGACTCATATGTCAGGCTGCGAGCAGCTGCGTCTAACAGCCTGGTTGATCAGTCCAGCAACCTGGTTGATCAGTCCAGCAACCAGGAGGCC